TGACAATAATATAAAGTGTGTTTGTACTCGTAGAGAGAAAAGTTATCGAGATTGTGAATCGCTGTGACTTATAGCCTGTATTATAAAAGTTGTTAAGTTTAAAGTGACGAGAAACGTACTGACTGTGGAATTACTGTGTACTAAAAGTTTGTATCGAGAAAGAATAAACTGGTTTAATTAAGAAGGGACTTGTGTCGCTGAAGTTCCTCAGAAAGAATTTATACCGGAAATTAACAACCAAGCAGATACGCAACAGGTTACTGCTTATGTAGATGAGGTTAAGAGTACAGATTTGGTGAATCTGAATTTTCACAAAGCCTTTGACAAGGTGCCACATAATAGGCTTGTAAAAAAATTATCCCTAGGTGTGGGGGATAAGTTAGCTAATTGGATAGAAGAGTGGCTGGATGGAAGAAAGGGTTGTTATAAATGAAGTTCAGTCAAACTAGATTAATTTCACAAGTAGAGTACCTGAGGGATCAGTCTTAGGACCTTTGCTCTTTTTGATTTACATCAATGGCATAGATGTAGGAATTGTCAATAAATTACTTAAATTGCTTATGGTATTATGGTCTTGGCTTTGATGTGCTAATTTTGACCTAAATTTCAGCCGTTTTCCTGTTAGTTTTGATTTATAATTAAATACTCTGATGAAAATCTTGAATTTGTTTTGTGTGACATTATTTGTTGCACACTTCTAACAACTTTCTACATTTTTTGTCATGATTATTCATACTGCTGTTGGATTATGACAGAAATGTTTTCAACTCTTTGATTTCTCCATCACTCCCACTCCTGACACCAAACAATTAAATGCCAGGCTTTACCTGTATTTTTTCATCCACAAATGACTTATTAAGCTGCTCATAATTTCAAACCTTTACATTTACCAAAAGTACACTCATTATCTTATTTAGAACTGAATTTCTTAGTTTTATAGTAACAGATTCCAAAATGTACAGCTGAAAGTCTTAAGAGCAGGTAGAAGTATATGAAACAATGAAATGTTGGTACTGTATTGCATTCAAATGGTGGTTAGCAATGATATTAGGAATGAAGTTTTAACTAGTCAGTGTTCACATATATAACTACATGGGTAGGATCAATATATTCATGGTCGTACCTAAGCACTTGAATTCATACACCAATAGATAGCTGAGTAACTTATTCAGTTATAATAAAAATTTAAAAACTATTTTAACATGACAACAGCTTTAAACACACATCTCTATCTAATAGTTTTCTGCTTAACCATAAAGGAAACAAAACACTAATAAACTTATACGTTTGTTGTCTGAGCTTGAACAGTTTTATTTAGAAAACTGAACATAAACTACATTATCATAACTATTTAATATTCTGAATTTCTTTGTGAAAGATAGATTTTCTGATGTATTCAAACCTTTATATATCCAAATTTATAAGTATTTTTGTTTGTAATATTGAATGAGTAAAACTTTCAAATGTGAATATAAGCTATTAAAAGCATATTTAAGATACATTTGGTATTAAATTTTTCACTGTTATTTACAACCCAAATATCTAAAAAGAAAATATATTTTTATTTTAAACTGTGAATATAATACTTGAATATTTACAATTTGCATATTTAAGAGATAAAGACTGAGTTACCTTTTCCAAAAAGGACAAGGTCTCACCTGTGTATGATACAAAGGCTTAATATGTTCACAGCTATGTTCTATCATTGCATTTCATAACATTATAGAAAAAAAAATGAGAAAGATAAGGGGGTAGACTAGAACCCATATCCTCATATCTAATTGTTCTTACATTTAACCATTAAATGCGAAATGAGAAGCAAATTTTGAAAGCTCTAAGTACACATTGAAATATTTCATTCTTTGAATATACTCAAATTATAAAAAGCTATGTTGTTTTATTCGGGCATACACATTGGTGAACGTGATTCAACAACACAGCTGACACAAGTAAGAAATGTAATTCTAAGTTACTATTCAAGACACTATAGTTGATCCTTAATTCAATATCATTTTAATATGATTTTAAATAAGTACTTTTGTAATTGGTTCTCCGATTGCTGTTGAATCCCTACACAGTTAGAAAAACAAATTCCGTGATATAAGGAACTATACTACAACAGCTAGTTTTTTAAGTTCTGCAACTTAAGCTAACAACTTGTTTTACTCATTCTAATCATTAAGATACACAAATTAGTATAGATATATTGTAACAACTCAGTTTTGTAAAATTCTGCAACTTAAGTGAACAACTTATTGTTATATTTAAGTCACTAAGATGGTTAAAGCACATCAAAATAATTATGATTCTATCTACACTGTTCCACTGAGCCATGCAGCTTGATGGAGTGATCCAATCTCTTGCAATATTTAATTTATTTTATTCAAATCTATAACAATCTTTTACATAATAGCAATGATATACTACTGTATAACTACAGGCTTCACCTGCATTGTCACCCCAAAAATTAGAAACATTGTAATAGTGTGTTGGGCTACCACATGTCTTAATCAAAGCCTGAATCTATCATGACACAACTCTACACTTGAGTATATTATGCTTGATTTCCACCCATTTCTCAAGCAATATTTCATCCAAATCCTTTTTTTTCAGGGTTGACAATAACGGAATAGTTGCTTTGATTTCAGTATATCTCGCAGATTTTTTATTTAGATTGAGATCCGAGATTTTTGTTACCAGTGAAGATGGTGGAACACTGCTCATGTTCTTCAAACTAATCACAAAAAATGCCAACACAGTGAATGGTAGCAATATCGTCTTGAAAAACTCACCATTACAAACCTCATAGATATTTAATTTCCATTTCAAAGCCTCTTATTTGCCCTTTCAAAATTGATGCAATTGTCTAAAAACATATCAAGAGTTGATTGCATAAGAAAACTAAATATAGATATTTACATCATTTCTGTTCCATGGTTCCATTATTAATAAAAGCCATGCCTATGCTGAATGTCTCATTACATGTTTTACAGACACACTCACACAAACAGAGGAAATATTATGCAATGAACTTTCTAATAATTTTTTTAATATTTTCATTACACAAAGTGGATTTACAGAGTATGCTGAAGACATAACCATTTAGTAACAGTATTAAGTGGTCCCACAGCTTTCTCATCAATGTACGGTATATGCCATCCAGTCTGAGAACAACCCTGGGTGGTTATGTGAAACCTCTGTGGGCCCTTAAAAAAGTTAAGTAGGTTAATGTAAGAAAATAACAATGAAACACTGTAATGACATTCAATGCATTAAGAGCTATACATCTCTTTTTATTGTAAAGTATTAAAAACTTCAGACATTTTAGGATTTCAATAATGTCTTTACCAGATATCTAACAGACAATTATTGTAAAAGATAAGAATTACACAAAGAAAAACTTGTATCCTGTCACAGTATATCAGAAGGCAATAATTAGTGGCTTATTTATGAAGTTTACTATACACATAAGAAAACTTTTTATAAAAAATAAATAACTGATCAGATTAGTCATACATTTTTATGCTGAACTGAGATAAAAGTTCAATTTTAATTTCTCATATTTACATACAAATACTCAAAATGTTTTATTTTGATAAAATCAGTACAACTTTTAGGCTATCAGTACACAATTGTACAAGTATACAAAGTGTAACCTAAATTGGTACATCATACAGATAACTTACTTACCATGAGGCTATAACAGATAGTAACACTGAGTGTGAAATAAGTAGACTTATTTAACAGTTCTAGTGAAATGTTACATTTCTACAGCAAAGTATAAGAACTATGTTATTTAGGTGAAATTGTAGAAAAAACTGAAAACAGAAGTAGGCTCAACTGAAAAACCAAAAATTTAAAAAATAATAATAATATTGGATGAAAGGAAAAAGTGTAAAAAATGTAATGGGTTATTCTTCTGGTATAATTACTAATGAAAGGAATAAATAAATTACATATTTATATAAGAATTTCCAAATACTTAAAATTTTGATTGGTAGTTTAGATGATGTTAGAATGCAATAAAACTGATAATACTTTTAACCATATTGTTTTTTTTTTAATGGCCAATTACAGGCTTCAAGGAAAGAAAGATGCAACTAAAATTATGATCAGTCTTACTGTGATATATCACACAGACTACTGATCAACTAATAATACTTCACCAGCTTAGCTTTTGCACACACATTCTTTATGCAATTTTTGTACGGTCTTTCTAATCTTATTACAGTTATAGGAGAGTGTAAATGCTCACTAATGTCATAAGGTAATGACTAAGTTAAGATTTTGGACAATACCCCAGCATGTCTACTCTGTATTCTTTATGCAGTGTTTTGTAAATTAAGGGTTCTTGAAATCCTTTATAAGTGTGTAGTTCTAAACTTCTGTATATTATTTTAAAATGTTTGTTGCAAATTCAACATATGAATAACTTGTGAATAAATATCTATTCTCAACTTTTGCAGGGATAGCATGTATGTTAATCCTAACAAAAGTTTGGTTAAAGTTTTTGGAGATATTTGATTTCTGATGGTACTTGTACTATTTACATATCTTCACTATGGACAAAAAAATCTACCATAGAACAACTGAACAACTTTTTAAGATATCCTGCCATGATGTTACTCACATAGCCCATTGTTCTTAAATACATAAAACAATTGTTTATTTTATTCTATTTACTTATCTGATCCCAAGGATCATATTACAGTTATCCATTTGGACCCATTCTAGTGAATATTCTTCACAAATAAAAATTTATACACAATATGACTGAAGCCCTACAATGTCTAATGTGGTTACTGCTCTTTATTTCCATTACCTAGTGAATATGAAACAAATGTTTATACAAGTGGGTACATTCTTGATCCAGATATAGTTTGTGACAATGTAATATGAAACTGAGTACATGTATTTGCACACATTCACCTTACGAACACAGTTTAAACCAACTGGAAACTATCTCCATGTAACTATAAACAAACATCACTTTGCCCCCTCTTAGTAGAAATTATTGCTTAAACATAAAAGAAATTATATTTACTAAACGTGATAAATAATTAATTTAAATTTTGGTCTGAAGCTATAAAATGTTTTACAGACCATATTTCAGTACTGTTCTTGAAACTTGTGAACATTCACATTATTGGTTAAAATGCTTGCATTCTATTTCTTTATTATAAATATTTGTTATTATGAGGATTATTTCACATTTTTAGCTTAGCATATGAATTCAGGGCTAACCCATGCCTCATAATATGGCTAAATCTCATGAGATATTATTGGGATTAGAGATAGCCATATATATATAAATAACAGAAAGTGTAACCACCTGATGAATCAGAACATTATAATAACTATAAGTTATAGTTTTATTACATTGTATACTCTTCATCCTATCAATATGTTAAATTAACTAAATTAATTATTGGGTTAAATTTTAGTTCTGATCTATGCAGATAGTTTGTTTTGATCAGAAGTTATTGATAATTACAGAAAAAAATAATTCATGTACACACAAGTGTAAGACAGTAAGTACTTGAACACTCCATTATGAATAGTACAGTGACAAACATTAAAATTGAGTGAGAAAATCGTACCTCTAAATTCACCATCCTGAGAATCAAGATATTGCTTTATGTTACAGCAAGAAGTGCACTGGGCTCAAAATATGTTTTTTTGCTACTTACTCTTGATAATTTAGGTGTAATTCTGTTAAAACATTTTTATTTATTAACAATTAAAACAGTGACTCAGTTTTTCTTCTTTATAAATTATTAACTTAATCTTAAGTTTAGAAAATAAAATTAGATTATTTTTGGACTATATTTATATTTAAGAATATTCAAGATATTATTATGCATGTACAGTAATTTTCAGAGTAATATTTCCCTTCCAAAATATTTAATTCAATATTTTTGTTTACTGAATATAAATTTTGTTTTGTATTTATGGAAAGCTAATTAGGTTATCTGTTGCAATCTCTGATTTTGAATTACTAATCAGAGAGAAGGAAGATAGTCAGCAGTACCCTAACACCCATGCAGGGGGGATTAACTTTCTCTCTTATAATGCATATGCAGCCTAAAGTGTAGTATCACATGAATTTGTGTTTGGCTTGCCAGCTCTGAAACCCAGAGCTCTAGCACAAGACCAATTCATGCTTATTTTACTTTTGTAACTGAATAGTTATTAGGTTCATGGGTATTTTTATTTTTTAAGCACAGTTTACTATTTAATGCTTTGAGATTAATTAATGTTATCAACATTTATGGATAACTTGCATGTTTGAAGAGTAAACTGTCAAATGTTCTTGCATGTATACTTAAAACATTTTTGACAAAATATGTTCATTTGTAAAACATTAATAACATTACATAAAATTTCTACTTTATCATAAATAGAAACAAACCTTTTGAGTTTTACATACTTGTCGAGTTTTCCTGCATTAATTGCTGTATTGGGGAATAAGTTTTTAATTTTATATTTATATAAGTGCTGATTGGAAGTAACAAGTTGAACAGAAAATCAGTTAAGACAAGCAACAAAAAGGTAAGTTTAAATATCCATTGAAGAATGTTATGTAGAAAGGCTGCTGTTACCTGTAACACCACTCGATCAGGCTTTTCCACTCTCACAAGATATAGCTGGTGTAACTTTAACCATTTGGTAAAGATCTTAGAAAGGTAAGAATCATGCAGTTTAAATAAGTGATCTCTCATAAAGTCACGAGAAACAAACATGCTTCCCATCCCACTCATCATCGTGGCATACAGAAGAAAATAGTCGTCCTTGGAGCTAGTTAAAAAACAAAAATTGATAAACTGGTTATAGCAAGCACTTACAAAGGAACAAGCATTACAAAAGCTTCAAGAATCTCTGTTTATAGTAAGTATAGTTTAACCTGCAAAGTATATTTAGTTTTAGACTTTGACAGATACAAGTATCTGTAAAAAACAGAAATTTGCAAGAATCAAAAACCCAAGCTTTATTATGTTTTTTACCAATGGAAAACTTCCTAGGAAAATAAGCAAGTAATTGAAGCAAAGGTTAAATATCACTGAGTTTTATTAAGCTAACTTTCAGATACATGCTAAGAGAAAACTAAAGGAAATTTTAAGGCACTCTACAAAGTAAACTTGATTACAGTTCATGGGGTTTGCAACAATATTTATGATTATTAACAGTGTAAAGAATTAACATATACTTAAAAAACAGTTTAGTCTACAGAACTTTGGACTGGATATTTTTAACTCTTTCACTGCCACATTTATAGATAAACAACTACTAGATTTATTTTTAGATATACAATAAAAAACACGTTTTAATATTTCATTACTTATCTGAAACTGGTAAACTGTGAGAAATTTAAAGTGGAATATTCTCTCTTTAATGGAAGAGAAAGAGTTAAACTACTCTTGTAAATAGATAAAGTGAAATGTTGTTAATCTGGATGCATTTGGAATGAAGTAGTTCTTAATTTTTCCATACTATTGAGACATCTGGATAGTTGAATCAGCTACTTTGAATACTATTAATAGCAAGCTTTACATATCATTCAATGTAAAGATACAAACTAGTAATAGTGGGAATGCAACTGGTAAACAAAAAGCAACTGTATGTATAACAAACATATCAGTTTAATATTTCAATTATGTCCTTTTTTGATATCCTAGAGCAGTTAGAAGTTGGACAAGAGTTAGACTCGTGAAATGCAAAGCAACAAAAATCAAAGGCACATAATTGTCTAGTACAGAAAGCTCTATTTTGATGGATATTGACTCAAGATGGGGATCGACACTTAGGGCATTTTGCCAACCTTTCTCCCAAGTTCAGCTTAAATTTTTCAGAGGGAAGCAAAGAAGCTGGGAGAAAGGTTGGCAAAGTGTCCTGTGTCTCGAGCCAATATCCATCAAAATAGGGCTTTCTGTACTAGACCTTTATGTGTGTTTGATTTTTTTCCTCTTTGTCACTTTGCATTTCACGAGTTTACTATTTCATATGTTGTCAATAATTATACAAAGTACATAATCAAGGTGCCATAATATGTCATTATCTTCACATTATCTCATTCAAACCAATGACATAGAAAACAAAATACACAGTACATGTATTGTTTTCTTGTATAAACAAATATCATGTTTTAATGATGCTGATATTATTACACATTTTCTTTTGAGACCACTATGACTTGACATTAGTAGAAATTACTCTGACGACCTCTTAATTTCCATTATAGTTTACACATACATCCCTACTGTGAAGGTTAGTCTCAGAAATATTGTCATAAATCAGAACACATGGTGAGTGCAGGTTTTTTGTGGTCAGTAATTATCACCATATTTCTTGTTCCAATTGACACCTACTTGGCTCTTGGTGAGTCATATATGAATTACTGAATTATGTATTCATAGAAAATGCATGCTTATTATAAGAAAAAGTTGTTTGGACTCAGAATATGAATATATGGATTACTGATTAAATTTCCCAGTGTGAAGATTTGTCTTTATGAAAAATCATCCAGACTGTCAATGTTTGGACTAACAAGATTTCATTATAAATGCATTTTTACTAAGTTATATTTTACCAAAATTATGTATTTGAATGGAAAATGTTATTATGAAACTTATTATATAAACACATTAAAGTAGGGGTGGACTTTATGGAAAAATATTCTGTTTTGAAACTTAAGTATGCCCTTCCAATCAAATTCAACTTGTACAGTAACACTCATTTGATAAGAAATAGCATATATTATAATTGTTTATTATAGCATACTTGGTAAGATCTTTATATATACAAAGTAAAACGATCAGAGTTCTGGATGTCAATTTTCTACATCTCTGTAAGACTGACTAGTGACTAAATAGATACATCTATAGAGAATAACTATAAACACAGTTTGATGTTTACCTGTAATTATTACCATGAAAACCCATAATTTTCTTAAATTACCCAAAACAGGCAAGACAACTCATTCTTTGATGTTTAATTGCTAATGTATAAAGTTATTGCAAGTGCATACTGTACATCTATCATAGTTTTATCCCAGACTGGGATTGGCAATCATCATGCAAAACTGGCTTTTCCACAAACTTTTATGCTGTCCTAGGACTTTTCAGGTTCGAGAAGGGAGTCACCATTTTGGAAGAAAAACATTGTGAAGTTGAAACAATCATTCATATGCAACGATACAATGGTATATCACTGAAAGGAACACTGACACTGAATCCACAGTAAACAGTAATATGACTGTAGGCTTTCTAAATTAATATAATAATGTAGTAATGATGGCCAATGTGTAGTGCTTGACAGGTATGATGTGATATAGTGAACTGAGAACACTCTGGGTTGGAAAATCATCATTTAAATCAAACAATGTAGCTATGTGTCTAAAGGGTGTTTTGCTTTAACTACTGTCAGCATGCTGTATTAATATATAGACATAGCCATGGAGTACTAGACTGCTATTAATATCATGTCATGACATTGTCTCTTTCAGAAATATTAGTGCATGCATGTTTAGGTTTTCATAAACATTTGTAATAAAAAAAGGTTACTAACTGCTATTATATCCAGAAATAGTACAGGTCATCAACATAACTCTTTCAGCATGGCTTGTTCAATTGGACCGATCTCGTAACCATTTTGTGCTTATTATAGTTTCATGCTATAACTTTTAAATTAGTAAGCAAATCTTAACGAAATTTGGTAGATTATCAGTAAACCTTACAATGCTTTCAGATGCAAAATATCAAATTTTATTATTGAGTCTGAAGGTTTATAAAGCAATGTTTTCTCATGTCTTTTTTTTTCTTTTCACATGTTGCCTATCTATCATGCAGAGCAATATTCATTTTAAGATAAGAAATACTTTTATGCATCAGAACATTTTGAAATTTCACATGCGAATTCTTTATAATGTCCAGATAGTTATCAAATGTTTCTTAAGAAAAAACTTTATATTTTATCTCTTATTTTCAGTAATTAATCTCTGTATGAGTTCGGTAGATTTGACCAATCTCGCAACCACCATAAAAAATTAGGAAATAAATATAAATTATGCCTCTTTTATTCTAGAATGAACACAAATTATAACACGAAAACATAAATATTTAGACTAAATAGCTTAAATCTCATAACATTAAACATTTATATATATTTATTATTTTTATTATATTGACCTTTCAGCCGTGCCTGGCTACCAATACAGAAGTTACAATGACGCGTCACACGTGCACTCATGTTACTGTATCAAATAACATAAAACTGACCTTTGGTCTGTGCAAAGTAACTTCTCTTGACTGTGTGTTAGTAGATCAGTATTTTGTAAAATACAGTCACATTTCAATTATTATACATTACATATGTATATAGATTATTGCTATTTTGAAATAAGTTCTTAAACGTATTTTTATTAAAACATAGAACAGTAACTAAAGAAGTAAAGCAAACAATTACATCTTCTAGTTACGACCTTTGTACTCGGTTGCTGCTTGACGTAGGTTTCTAAGCTTTTAAAAAAATTGCATGTGGAGGATATGAATCAAAATATTTTTTTTTAGGTTTTATATATACAATTGAATAACTACAAAATTATAAATTACTACATTAAT